CAAAATTTACGACACAACCTGAATCATGAACAAACTGCCATGTTTATCTTCGCCTTTTGGATTATTATGAACTGGGAATGACAGATTGACTCTCTAACAGAGCTGACATGTGCTGCTGAAGATTACACACACAGATGAGAGGTTTGCGCTGACTGTGGGCTATAATGCGTGTGTTTTTGAACAAAAAATAAGTACTAAATGTATAATGTTTGTAGTTTTTCTGTAATTAATAATATATCGGAGACCGTAAGGGGCTTTATGTGTTCATATATGTTGCATTTATATATCTATTTAATATAATTACAGACGTTACAGTAGGCTATTTCACACTGTCATTGATCTGCAGTTATAATCAACTCCTGTTCATAGAAAAGTTAGTAATAAACATTTATAAACAAGTATTTATGTGTATAAATTTTGTGAGAAGTGCTGCTCATATGAGACCCGTACAGCCTTACTCTAGACATTTATTTGAGCGAGCATGACGTCGACTTAAACTTTGTACACCACACCCACCAAAAAGGGTACACTTTGTGGTGGAAATGCAAGCCTGATAAAGGTGACCCGTACAGACCCGAACCGTACCGTACTGTACCAGTCAGTGGAAACGAGCCATTAGATGATGTTAGCGGGAAAACAATTTCTGATGCTTTCATCAGGGAAACCGGTAAAGTCTAGATTCAGGGTTCTTGCACCATTTTAAAAGTAACATTTAATGCTTTTTAAGATCTCAACAAATATAATTTAAGACCCAAAAATGTCCTAATTTCTTTGGAATAGGCTGCCCAATTTAACGTCCTCGTTAGATTTAAATGAATGTGTGTGTTGTTACCTCTTGGAGGAGGGTCCGGTGGGCATACTCATGGTCTTCTGCAGGTTGAACTTCCCTGCGGCGATGCTGTCTGCAGACTGAGAGAGACTGATGCTGCGGTTCCTGAAGAACTCAAAACCACTGCTGGGGCTCTGTTCCTGCACACATACAAGCAAACACACATTCTGGGATCAATAATTAAAAAACAAACAATAAAAGAAATGATGAACTAAAACACAAACAATAAAAGAAGTGCCGAAAAACACAAAGAAGTGCAGAAATAAACTAAAGAAATGGTGAAATATAACAAACAATAAAAGAAATGCTGAAACAAAACACAAACAATGAAAGTGCAGAAATAAACAATAAAAGAAATGGCGAAATAACAAACAATAAAAGTGAAGACATAAAACAAACAAATGCTGAAATAAAGGAAAAATAAAACAAAAGAAATGGCGAAATAAAAAAGTGCAAAAAAAACACAAAATAAAACAAACAATAAAAGAAATGGTGCAAAATTGACCACAAATATCGCAAAAAATCCCAACAAAACAAGTCATTTAGTTGCAAAAACTATTAAGAAAGCCTGGAAATTGGCTGGAAAGTTTAACCCTAAATACAAGTATAAGAAATAAAAACAACAAATATTTTTTCTAAACGAATTAAAAATGTTAAATGGTTTTAAAGTAATGAAATAAAAGAAAGACATAACAGTGTGCATTCAGTAAAGCTGATATAGAAGACTGCAGTTCATCATCTGGCCACTAAAGGCTCCATAAAACACTTTAAAGGGTCACGAAACACCAGAACACATGTGTTGAGCTGTTGACAGTGGTATATGTGTCCCACACTGCTATAAACACTATTAGGACACCTATATTTCACTAAAAAGTGTAAATTGGTTGTTTTTGCGTTATTTCAAGCAAATTAGTACTTCCGGTTTGAAACGAATTTTCGAAGCTGCGTCACGGCCATGAGACAATAGCGTGTATTCCAGCGTGCAGACTGGACGTCTGTGCCAGAGTGTGTCTTATTACGTCTTACAGTGTGATGCATTAATGCATAAGTAAAGCTCGGTTCAAACCAATCAGTGCGCTCTATTTTGCAACTTCATTAATATTCATTACTGTCACAGTGTTTAGACGACAGAGACGCCACGTTGTGTTGGCAAAACAAGCGTGAAGTGTTGCTTTTATAGTTTGCTGCAGTGAAGTTTTGTTTTCATTTTCTCTCTGTGAGAGCGCAGCTGGAGTCACGTGTGGATTAACAGTGTACACGACGCTCGACAACAATAACTTACGTGTCTAAGGAGGATTATTGTTTACCTGAGAGCTGTTCTCATCTGCAAACGCTGAGATCCGGATTCGCTTTAGTCTCCTCTTAATAAAGACGCGGCTCTAGTTGCTGGTGATTGTCCTGTCTCTACAGATTTGGTAAGTGAGCGACCAGTGCTCTTTGTTTATTCAGTTCGTATTTTATTCGTATCAAACAAACTATTGCACCGAGTGTAAACAAGTTAGCACTAACAGTTACAACCAAACTATAACCTCGTGTAGGATTTAGTGACCGGAATAACACACGCGGCTTTCTGACACTACCTGCTGTGTGCATCTTTTTCCGGGAAATGCAGAGGTTTTTTTCTCTCATTCGCCGTGCGGTATCAAACATTGCATGAAAAATACACGCTTACAGCAGTTCCTCGAATGAAATATGTCGTTTGTTGCGAGGGGCATGAATGAATTCCCTGAATGAAAGAGCCAAACTGCAGTTAAAGTCCACCATTTAATCATTTGGCCAATAATTCGACTACAGATGTCCATGTAAACACAGTCACTTTCTCCCCTGTGTGTGTGTGTGTGTGTGTGTGTATTTTGACTCTGAAACTTGCGCGTGCCCAAATAGACACTCCCACACCATCCCACTTTTCTTCCTCCTACACTCCCCCCTAAACAGAGCTGGACACGCCCACTTTTCTGACTTTTTCCAAAGTAGAGGTGTGAAAACACCCTGCTGAAACGAGGGGCTTTCATGGCCCTTTAATTAATCCTCACAGACTCCCCATGTTTTAATCTTTCTCTCCATCTCTCTCACCTGAGTTGTAGGTGTGGTGGGCGGAGTCTCGCTCTCCCCTGAGCCAATCGCCTTGAGAAATCGTATCATGTGTCGACACAGATCCCACTTCCCCTGCTCCAGAGCAGTGTTGAAGAGCAGTGTGGCGTGCTGACGGCTGACCGCTGGAACCTCCATATTCTGAAGACAAACAAAATGACACATTGTCCCTCTTCCCAACAGGAAAAACCAGCAACAATCAACAATGCATGATTATACGCATAATAATACCAATTATTAAGATTATAACAAATATTATTATGAATATAATAAATTATTAGATTATAATGGAAGTCAATGAGACAAAAACAGCCACAAACATAACAAAAGGGGAGTCAATCTGCCCAGTGTATTATTGAGTTTAACGAATTTCAAATAATTTCCCCCAGTAATAATTGCAAAATTAAGATTTGTCACCAAATATCATTCCATTTGCTCAAACGCAGAGAAAGTCGAGGCCAAATTAAGCTTCAAAATCAGCCCAGAGTGGATGAAGATGACCCAACAGCCACACAAGGGTTAATCTTCTCCCACCTGCAGTATGATCAGGTATGACGCCGCCGTGTCCAGATCCTGCGCCATCAAGCACTCCTCAAACAGGTCTTTGGGGTTCCCGACAGCGGCGAACAAGTAGTTCCAGAGGGCGTATTCGGTCTTGCGTGCGCAGTGGACGATAGTCTGCAGGAAGAGCGGGAACTCGGTGACGAATTTGGCCACGGTGGGCAGCAGCGGGTCAGGGATGGGCTCTCTGGACGTGGCCTCCTCCTCCAGCACCACATGCACCATCAGCTCCAGAACATGCGGGAAATAAGGCAGCGATGCACACGACTGCGCCAACATCAGCGCCTGCTCACCCAGATTACGCACCAGCAGCTGAAACACAGTTGAGGAGAGTTTTAGCTTCCAGCTTATATTAAGGAGACCTATTATGTCTCTTTGAATAAGATGTAAAATAAGTCTCTGATGAGTGTGTGTGGAGTTTGAGCTGAGAATAACACACAGATATTGTTCTCCAGCTCTCTGAAACTGACCCTTCTAGGCTTTGATGCTAATTGAGGTGTTTTGGTGACTGTCGCTTTAAATGCAAATGAGATTGTGCTCTTTTTAAAAACGGGCGGAGCTACAAATGCCTGTGTGTCAGCATAGAGGCAAATTTAAAACTAAAGGACAGACGGCTGCTTCTTACTCAGGGCTGCTGTTTATGCTAATGAGGAAGAGATGGTCACTAGTGGGCGGGGCTTTCCCCCTCTGATGACACATACAAAGGGAGAGTCGTAATCAAAGTGCAGTGGTCAAACCTACATATTTTTATGTTGTTACAAATATATTTAAATATTTATTTACACATATAGACACATACACATATATATACAAACAAATAAAATAAATGCATGTAATAAAAAGAAGTGCAACTTGATTTAAACAAATGAAAAGATAAGCAATTTAATTTAACTAAAATGAAATATTAAATATTAAATATTTATAACAAAATATTAAAACAAAATGTAAAAAAATAAAAATAAAATAAAATAAATAAATAATAATTAAATAAAATAATTAAAAAAATAAAATAAATTAAATAAATAAATAAAATAATATAATATAAAAAATAAAATAAATAATAATAAAATAAATATTCTGCACACACTGCTCATTACGAAAAAAAAATTATAAACAAAAAACACACAAATAAATTAAAATTACAATAAACTAAAAAAAAAACATTTAAATAAAAATGTAATTTAATTTAATTAAATAAAACAAACCAACAAATGAAATAATAAACAATAAAATAAACACAAAAAAAACCGGTCTGGAGGTATGGGTAATATCTCTTTACACACACTTTCACACAGATAACGTCCTGGTTTGAATCTGCCATTATGCTGATACACTCATTTGTAGCTCTGCCCCTTTCTGAAAAGAGCACAATCTCATTTGCATGTAAAGCAACAGTCACCAAAACCCCACAATTAAGATAAAAAGGGTCCGTTTCAGAGAGCATTGTTTGTGTAATCTTTTGAGGTCAAACTTCACACTCTATACATCAGAGACTTTTTTTTTCGCATCTTGTGTAGAGCAGTATAACAGGTCTCCTTTAAACATGCTGAACTGTAATATTACCTGTCTTAGTATGTGGTGCAGGTATATCTGTGATGTTCTCTCCACCGTGCAGTAGGGGAACAGCGCCTCTAGTGGCTCCGCACTCGAGCTCAGCCCGTCAAACAGCACAGTCTCGTTGGAAGCTCCGAGGATCAGCGCGTCCTCGAACAGCACCGTCAGCGGGTAGATGTTGATGTGGAAGGGGAGCATGATCCTGCGGGACAGGAACGAGTGCGGTTTTCGGTGGTCTCGGGGGAACAGCGGCAACCACACCTTCATCCCCGCTTCTCCGCAGGAGAGCCACAGCGCCTCCATCAGGTGACGCTTCTTACGGTTACTGCGACTCGACGTCCACACGCTCTCCACACACTGCGCCAGAACCACCGGCGGGCAGAACGGCAGCTGGGGAGGACCACCAGGAACATATATTTACATTCATTTTCCTTCGGCTTAATCCCTTTATTCATCAGGGGTCACCACAGCGGAATGAACCACCAACTATTACAGCATATGTTTTATACAGCAGATGCCGTTCCAGCTGCAACCCAGGACTGGGAAACATATCATATATATATGTGAAATAAAAACGAAATAAATGCATGAGTTTAAATTAAATCTGGTTTGATTTAAATAAGAAATAGTTCTAATAATTGAATTTAACTGAAACTAATTTATATAAAATAAAAAATAAATAAACAAATAATTCAATTAATTTAATTATTAAAACTCATCCACACACTGAGGTTGAACAAGGAGATGAACAGGAAAAAAAAACTTAATAAATTAAATTAAAATATATATAAATACACCTACACACACAAATAAAATAAATAAATGAATTTTAATAAAATGCTATTTAATTTTTTGCATTTAATAAATGCAAAAAATGTAAGAATTTATAAATAAACAATTTAAACTAAATTTAATTAACACAGAATAATAAAACAAAAATACATAAAAAACAAACATACAACCATTTATATATATATATATATATATATATATATATATATATATATATATATATATATATATATATATATATATACACACACGCACAAATAAAATTAATGCATGTATTTAAATGAAATGTAATTTAATTTAATTTAAATAAATAAAACAATAAACAATTAAATTGAACTAAAATTAATTAGTACAAAATAATAACAATAACTTTTTATTAATTATCCGCTCTCCTGATAAATAATAAAAATAATAACAAAATAATGACATTAAATAAAAAATACATACATTAAAATAAAAATTTCATTTCATTTCATTAAATAAATAAAATAAAACAAACAAACCAAACAAATAAATAGATTAAATAAACAAACAAACAAAAACAAACTAACATATTTCATTAAAAACTTATTTAAATGTATATTCCGTTAAAAAATAAGTAATAAATCAACAATTTATACTGTTAAAACTCAATTACGAAAAATGAAAACTTACTTTGTATATATTAAACATGAGCAAGATCAGACTGTGGGCGGAGCCTCATACTTACCAGTTTGCTGTGATTGGCCGGCGCGTCCTTCTCTCGTACCTGTGGGCCGGATCTGTCTCTCTGCAGCATGATCAGCTGACCAGCCAGATTCAGCAGGATACTCTCAGCCGAACAGGCCTGACACACACACACACACGTGCACATCTGAGTTGTGTGTGTGTATGACAGCATGTGTGAATTTGTAAATTTGTGTGTATATGAGTATGGGTGTATGTATTTGTATGTGTGTGTGTGTACATGTATTTGTATGTGTGTGTGTGTGTGTGTACCTGCTGTGGGGCTTTGAGTGTGATGCCGCTCTCCGTGCGCACTGATGTGAGGGTCACAGACACCACCAGGCCGGGGTGAGGAATATAGCGGGACATGGAGACCTCCTGCAGCAGCTCCACACTGGCGGACGGGCTCGGGCTGAACACACACACAACAGGGTGATATCAAAACACACAATCTGTCTAAAGCCCTCTCCTGTGTGTGTGTGTGTGTGTGTGTGTGTGTGTGTGTGGGTGTGTGTGTGTGTGTGTGTGTCCACGTGCGTCTATGATGTTTTGTGTGTGAGAATAATGGTGGTATTGTATGAAAAATGTTTTGTGTGTGTGTGTGTGTGTGTGTGTGTGTGTACCCGTCGTGGCGTCTCTCGATGCTGTACAGGCAGATGGAGCAGTCGGCTCTGAACAGAATCACCATGTTGCGAAACACGTTGAGCAGCAGTGTGTCGGCGTGCAGTTTAGTGATGCTGGCAAATGCGTTATCCAGGTTAGCAGAGCGCACGTACAACCGCAGCTGCAAACACACACACACACACACACACATTTATAAGCACATCAATAAACACACACACACACACACACAATCACACACATAAATAAATAAACACACACCCACACCCACTCCGAGGAGTGACTCGTCTTACCTCTTCCTGACGATCAATGAAATTGTAACAGGCAACAACAACAAAGTCATTCCACCACGCAAGACCACCGGTCACAGTCATATTCTGCTCCTGAAACACACACATACACGCAAGAATACACACACAAACATTTACAAACTAGTGTAAACAATTACGCAAACATTTACACACGCACTAATACACACTCACACAGGCACAAACACAAGTGTACACACACACACACATGCACAAAAACATATGCACAAGCACATACATGCATACACAGAATTATTCACACACACACACACACACGCGCAAGCACGCATGCACGCACGCACGCATACACAAGCACGCACACACACGCACGCACGCACACATAGTTGCAAACAAATACACACACAAAGAAATACACACACATGAATAAACACACAAACATCCACACACATGCACAAATAGTTGCAAACACACATTCACACACAAATACACATGCACAAATAGTTGCAAACAAATACACACACATACACACACAAACACACATTGTTGCAAACAAATACACACAGTTGCAAACAAATACACACACACACACAAACAAACAGTTGAACATAAACACACACACACAAACGCACACACACTTACAAATAGTTGCAAAAAATACACACACACACACACATACATACATACATACATACACACACACACACAAAAACACACACACACACACACACACACATACACATGCACAAAGTTGCACATAAAGACACAAAATACTGATTTCAGACAGGCTCCATCATGAGTTATTGGTCTTTAAAT